CTGCTGAACAAGAAGAAAAAAAATGTTTGCTGGTCTTAGGTCTGGTCAGGCTGGTCTAGTTTGAAACCAGTTTGGCCATGCTAGGAAACTCTCAAGCCAACTGAGATCAGCAAACTAGCTGGTCGTGAATGTATTATTATTTTAAATAATAAATCTAAATTGTTATTTCAATGTGAATAATATGAAACAAACAATATTTAATGTATGCACTTTCAATATCACAACTAAAATTGGAAGGAACTTTACCATATTCCTGTAACTGAGAAAGGATATCTGTGTCTGCTTCTTTGAATCCACCTCCATGAAGAAAACGTTGAAAGTCCTTCTCAGTCTTGTGCCTGATACATTCAAAAACATTATAGATCATACACTTGAGATTAAGAAAATGAGTAGTATACCATGAAGACATGTAGGGCCATAACCATGAAAATGAAGTGGGAGCACCTCCTAAACTAATGGTTGAACTAATGCAGTATATTACATTTGATCCTCCTCAATCATAAATATTTGGTTACAGCTTTGTAGTCATGTTTTAAAAAACAGAAAAGGGAGAACAAGAAAAGATAGTTTAAAGTCTTCTTATAGAATGTGTCTGTAACAATGTTCAAGTTCAGGGAAGAAGGAGGCAGGAACCGGCAGACATTTAACAAACTTTAATTCCAAAGTAAGCAAACAACAAAAGTAAGTGACAGCAGACAACACAGACGACTGCCGCATAAGCATAAACAAAACAGCAACATAAATATCCCAGGCCTGGTCCTCTCTCATCCTTTACTGTCGTCACGCCTTCATTTATCCTTCCGGAGCTCCTCCATGGGACTGGTGTGCCGCAGGTGTCACACATTATCATTTGCCCCACCGGACTTGCTTCGCTCCCATGGCTCTCTGCTCATGGAGTTGTGCAGCATGCTTTGTTAGGAAGGGCCTGATCTTTCTGATGTTGTGCAATGCAAACCTGCAAGATCAAGCGGTTTTTGCAATGTGGTCTTTGAAAGTCAGCTGATCATCAAAGATTACACCAAGATTTCTGACCTAAGAGATTAACCTAGCTGGATGGTAAAATCATGCTGTAGAGTCAGAGAGGCAGGGAAGATGAGAAGCTCAGTCTTTGCCAGGTTGAGCTGTAGGTGATGTTCTTTCACCCATGGCGAGATGTCAGCCAAGCAGCCTGAGATCCGTGCAGCTACCGTTGGATAATTTGGTTGAAATGAAAGACAGAGCTGAGTGTCATCAGCATAGCAATGGTAGGAGAAGCCATGTGCCTGTATGATGAATTCCAGTGATGTAGTGTATATGGAGAAGAGGAGGGTTCCAAGAACTGATCCCTGAGGAACCCCAGTGACCAGTTGATGTACTTTGGATACCTCCCCTCCCCAGGCCACCCAGAAAGACCTACCTGTGAGATAAGATTCAAACCAATTAAGTGGAATCCCGATGATGCCCAGTGATGAGAAGGTAGACAGGAGGATCTGATGATTCACAGAGCCAAAAGCGGCAGATAGATCCAGCAGAATGAGAACTGATTATTTGGAATCAGCTTTCGCAATCCGCAAACAGTAATGCAGTCTCAGTTGAATGCTCACTTCTGAAACCATACTGGTTAACGTCCAGTTGGTTATTCTGTAAAAGAAATAATGACACCTGGTTGAAAACAACTCGTTCAAGTGTTTTCGCTATGAATGGAAGGAGACAGAAAGGTCTGTGGCTATCTACAAGTGAAGTCTTTAATGTAGGCTTTTTGAGCAGTGGGGTTACCTGAGCCTTCTTGAATGCGGTGGGGAAAATGCCTGTGAGAAGAGATGTGTTGATAATATCTGTGAGTGCCGGTAAGAGTGTAGGAGAGATTGTTTGGAGAAGATGTAAGGGGATTGGGTCTAGATGGCAGGCTGCAGGATGGCTGGAAAGAAGAAGTTTTGATACTTCTGCCTCAGTGAGGGGACAGAAGGAGGAGAGGGAAGTTTTAGCAGTGGATGTGGTTGGTTTGAATTCCTGTGTGTGGAGCTGAGAACTGACTGCTGATGGTTTTAGTTTTGTCTGTGAAGAATGTGGCAAAATCATCTGCTGTTAAAGAGGTGGTGGAGGAGGACAGAGGAGAGAATTGAATGTTTTTATGTGTGTCCGAAGTGCTGTTGATCTTGTGGAAATATGAAGATTTGTCAGTATGGTTGGAAGGGGTAGCATGTGCTGGCCTGAAGGAGAGAGGACATATATTGTCTAGACAAGAAGTTAAAGTAGAGCATAACTACAGAGGAAAGATGGGGGGGTGAAAGGGAGCGTAGGTTTCGCCTAAAAGTAACACGTAGAGGGGTTAGTGGCACACAGGTAGCAGGATGTACGTTAAATGTTATAAAGAAATGATCAGAGATGTGTAGGGGTTTTACCAAAATGTTGTCTGCAATTACGTGTGTAAATTAAATCAAACTGGTTGCCTAATTTTTGATTGCTTATGGTGGTAAGCTGTTTGAAATCATAATCTATTTTTTTAATTACAAATAAGTGCAATCAAAATACAAATTATAACAAACTCTGAAAACGATATACACTATCTAGAAAACACTTAGGTGTCCACTTAATCTCAGAAAAGATACAGTTCTTCTGTGTTCATTTAAAAAAATAAAAATAAAAAAAAAGGACCAATACATAAGGATGGAGCTGGCAGTGGACAAGAGCTCAGAGTCACCCAGAAGCCAGCCAAGCCAACCGACAAAGGTGATGACCCAGGTGGAGTCTGGTGAACAGAGAGAGCAGGTGACACTTGAGGACCAGGAGACCAAAGTGGAGCCACAGTCATGAGCGGCCAAGATAGAGCTCGGGTCCCGGAGGACTGAGACGGAGCTGGTGGGAGTGAGGACTGAGGTGATGCCGAAAGCCTGGAAGTCTGTGGCAGAGGAGCCGAAGGGACGAGGGAACCCTACAGAGTTGGGAAGGACGTTGGTCACAGGTAGAGCCTAGGGAGCAGAAGCCGAGGTGGAGAAGTGGGCCCGGAGGCCCGAAGCAGAGCCAGGGGATCAACACACCAAGGCAGAACTGGGGACTAGGAGGCCAGGAGGCATTATCTTTGGGCTGAGTCAGCAGAGGAGCTGAACGGGACCATCAGAGTAGACACCAAAGAACTAGATGGGAGTGGGAGTCTGGGCAGGACCATCAGCAATGAAGAAGATTAGGGCTATTCAGAACCAGCAGCGACAAAGAAGACTTGAAGCTTGGTTGTGATGGTGGTGATGAATAAGACTTGGATCTGGGTGGGACCAGTGGAAACAAAGAAGATTTGGAGCCAGGTGAGATTAATGAAGATGAAGGTGAAGTGGAGGAAGACTTGGGGCTGGGTGAAACCACCAGAGAAGGAAGGGCTTGGGCACAGGAATCAATCAAGAAATCTAACACTTCAGACTTGAGCAAACCTATCTCTGATTCTTGAGGACCACACACTTCAAAATCCAGCTCCACTAAAACTCCAACTGAGACAGATGGTTGCTTGCATACCTGGTCAGACTGGGCTGCGGACTTTGTCTCCGGGATGGAAAAGGCTGCAGGCTTGGTGTGTTAAGATCCTCTTCTCTCTTACCAATGGTTAATTAAGATAGGGAAAAGGGGAGTATAAATAAAGAAACAAAATAGATATTCAAACTTTTAAAGGGGTCATATGATGCGATTTCGAGTTTTCCTTTCTCTTTGGAGTGTTACAAGCTGTTTGTGAATAGATAAGGTCCCTAAAGTTGCAAAGACTAAAGTCTCAATCCCAAAGAGATATTCTTTATAAAAGTTAAGACTCGTCCACGCCCTCCTAAAACG